ACATCCCATAAGCTACTACGATACTGAATAGAAGTATAGAATCTGTGCCTCATTCGGGAAAGAATGATGATCAGCAGCTAAGAACATAACTCTTTCAATTTTGATAGTTTTCTGGACAAGATTTCAAATACCATTCGACAGGCCTGAATAAACTATAACTGTGAGTATGAGTAAGAGTGTTTTCCTGTTTGTCCGACTAATACAACCTATTCGCTCGACAATGTGAACGTGTACGTCGCCTACTCCATGTGACGTCGTGCGGCTACCTATATAACGTGCTTCTTCCGCCACTTTGTTGCCCGCATATCGCCATGATTGTCGCGCCGATTCTTGTTCTCCTCGTAATTTCTTACACAGTTTCAGCACAAGGTCAGTTTCTTTCTTCTGTGAACCATGCGTTGATGAAGCATTGACCAAGGTCGAGAGTAACACTGAAAAAAGGTAGTTGGGTTCAGGTTATCTATGAACCCTAGTAGAGCACTATTGCAGTTTTCTTCCGCTGAACTATCTATGATGTCTTTGTCTTTTTTGTCTTTTTGCTCTTCCTGACTCTTAATGAGGACTTAAATTTGTCCTATTTTTATAACTGCTGATTTTACCCTCATCCGCAAACCGAAAATTCTTCTCAAGAATGCCGAGAAATGGGTAAAATTTCACCCCGGCCGTGACTTGAGCCTGGACCTCACGTCCAACGGCTAGTGTACTAAAGCTGTGACATAAGAGCTGCCGCGCTGAGCTAGGGCGGTGCTAGACAGCCTTGCGGGTAGAGGACAAACTTCCTGGTCACGCAATCCATTCGTTGTGGGTGCTCGCGCGGGACGATCATTGGAATATTGCCAAGGCCAAATATGTCATATGAACTGTCTACTGACAAAATCGGGGAAGAGTTCATAAAGGATGCATTAATTCTTCTATGATGCAGTGGCGGGGAAGTTCAGGTGATCAAACGGCAGTTAAGGACCAGAGTACCTGGATTGGATGTCTCCATCGCTCCCACTGCCCAAAACTCTAAATTCATGTTCATAATGTCCACCCTTAATGACCGGATCGCCTTCACGAGGCGCGATTCTTTCATTTTACGTCCGTGTAAAGAGTTCAGCCGAACGAAACCTCGAAATGGAGAGAGCCTAGTTCTTTGGGATCTGTCCTTGGTCAGAAAAATATTCAATATTTCACCGTCCACATAGGAGCCTCTGGGTAGTAGAAGCCTCAAGCAGATCAAATAGGGGGTACCGTTCAAAAAGCTAACCTGATGAAGGCATATGCTCCAACGTGCTCTACGTGAATTATGTGCATCACAAAAGTTCATTTGTCCTGGACAGGAGCGGTGGAGAATTAGGGGACGAGGAGGGCGGAGGAATTCGGTAAGGAGTGTTTCCAACAAATACTTTCTTCTTTGAAACTATAACATTCTAAGTAGATGATAAATGTATTAACTTATCTACATGTGGTAGTAGTCCATGAAAGACTCGTGTTTCTAGGGACGAGGTAGAGGAGGCTCTGGAGACGGTTCATCCGGTATGAGCTGGGGAGGTGGTGAAGGAGGTCAAGGAGGTGAAGGTAAAAGACTACTCTGGAAAATACTCTGTTACGCTTTCAGACCGCTCATTCCGATTTATTACATATGTATACGGCTTCAGGAGGCTGGAGTGGTCAAAACGGAGGAAATCAACAAGGAGGATGGGGAGGCCAGAGTGGAGGAGCACAACAAGGCGGAAGTTGGGGAGGCCAAAATGGAGGAGGACAACAAGGCGGAAGTTGGAGTGGTGGTGGCTCAGGTATGTGCACTTCATTCTTCTGAGTAATCCCGTTTTAATTGATATCGTCCTAATTATCGCTTTTGTGCGTAATAGTGTCTTATTCTTGCCCTTTCTCTTAGTTCTCTCGCCACCTTAGCTGCTTGTTCTTTAACAGCGTCTCTGTTGCCCAGGGGATGCGCACAATCTTAGTTTCGTTTTTGTTAAAGACATGCGTATGTATTCACTATTCGGCTACGCACGCTAATAAATTTTATTTGAATTACTATCGATTCCTGTCCACGTTAGTGCGTGGATCAATCAGGTTCTAATTCCTGTTGTGACCGCATGGAACACTGACCAACTTTCTCAACAAAAACTCGACTCCTCTGATGGTGATGAAAGAATAAAGGGAAATATATAAAATAACAAACAGCGGGGTGTCTGAGAGAACCTTGGTAACCTCACAAAGCTCACCAAATCGTCGATCTTCCTGTATTTCCGGAACTTCCCACCTTTTTTCCGGAATATTCCGGAATTTCCCCAAAAAACTGTTGTCGAGCGGACCTAGTTGAGGGAATATATAGTGAAAGTTAAACGGGAGAGCCCGAGAAAATTCGACAAGCGAAAAAATTTTGCAAAATAGCAAGTACAATATACACTAGTTCGCTGCGGACGGTTGGGCGTGTCAGTATGAGTGTGCCACCCCCTCTAAGCCGTTCTCTGTCTTCTTGTTGAAGCGCGCAGCGACAAAAAGTGGTTGAAAACGAGTAATACGAACGATATGATACAGTCATTTTACTTGCTCGCTTTATTAAATGGTGGAGAACGGATTGGCACTGCGCCAAACTCATTCCGCTGACAGCCAACTGTCCGCAGTGACACTACCTATACATCATACCTCTAGCGACCCACGTGCACTCTACTAGCTGGCGGATTCACAACTAGGAGTAATCATACGGCGAGGTTCAGAACACGCTTTAACCAGTGCCAGTATCTTTATGGACACAATTGTGGCACCCGCATACAGTCATGCTATCGGAATGCCGCCAACTAGGGCGCGTCCCTCTTGAGGACATATAGCCTTGAAATTCAGTGCAAAAACTGGTCTTGTGCTCAGCTGAGCAGCGCTAATAAACTATACATAACTGTCACTCATCCCATCAAAGCTGCTTTCAAACCGTTGCCTCGAAATTTGTGCAGCAGCACATTTTCTCAAAATGTGTAAATCTTTGACTGCGCGAGCCCTGACTTTTGCACTTCTACCATTTCGCCTAATATCTGATCTCATTTCACACCCTACTAATCTAGAATACTTCAGGATTAGGAAAGATCATCTTGTTGTCTACTTCATATTTTCTGTTAGTTCTAGAATTCATTGGTCATGTCCACAAGAGGCATCGGATTTCATTTGGGACAGCGTTCGCTTCTCAAAAACCTACCCTGAAGAACCTCTTCTGCAACTTTTCTTCTACATCTTCGGCTTGCGAAATTCCTTCCTTGTGTTGTTCCTTTTTCTTCCAAGTGTGGTTTAATCCCGCTAACAATAGATCCGTTAACTTTTATGCTATTTACTGCATGAACAGGTTCTGAGCGAAAATTTGGAAACAATACAGGTGAAGCTGAAATGTTTTTAAGGCTCGGCTGCTAGGAGGCATCTGGGAGGTCGAGGGAGGTCAGGAGGGTGACAGAGCGCTGGCGAGGCGAAACAGGAAGACAAGGTGGTTTCGGGGATTTGGCGATGGAAGCAGGTAGCATCATTCTTTGTTTTGGGCGTATCGCACAATACCTAACTTCTTTCAGGTGGCGGTTTTGGAGGTCGGGGAGGTGGCGACCGAGGAGGAAGTAATGATGATTCAGGTTTGTACACACCGTGGACTGATGGCTCTCTTAAAGCCACAGGACGCTCACAGCAACATCTGACGGAGTGTATAGACTATCAGCCCCCCAGCTGACGATGTGTCGTGTCCCCCGCCCAAACATGCCCAGGAATGGAGATACAGGACCGTGAAACACGCAAATTCCTCCATGCTCCGCCTTACAAACCATTATTGCGCGGCAATTCTCGCCGTTCATGAACATCCGTTGCAAGCGCGCGCTGTCCGGCCGTGCGGCTCCTGGCACTTTCAATCCTTTTAATCGCTCTATCCATATCAATAAAACGCAATTTCCTGATGCGGATAACATTAGGAGGTGCTACAAAATAAGAACAGAAGATGATGACGAGGGTCAGAACTTTAAAAGCAACTGTGCCACTTCTGCAAAGTCCCTCGGAGGCCGCGTGTTTTCACGAAACATGAAAATAAAAACGGCATACTCGTTATTTTGATACAAGCAAAACGCTTCTGTCTTAATTCTTTTGATTTGTCGAATTAATTTTTATAGTGTTCATTGCTCAAAATCTCATGTACTATGTTAGTGAGATGAAGTATGACATCTAGGTTCTATGATTATTGCGGGCTATTCTATTAACGTTATTGTAGATAATGTTAATTAAAAAATATCAATAAATTTGAATATAATCAGGATAGGTATAATTATTAGATATCGCTCTTGTTATATTCTATTCATGTCTTCGGTGGTCTGAATTTCTGTCGTCGATATTGCATTAGAATTATAGAACAACGATTGGAATCGCTTTGGGTTGTTTTTTTTTTATTTGTTTTTTGTGGTATTTATGTGCGCTCTTTTTTTTTGATGTATATTTGCAGTTGGGCAGCTGAGTTGGCTTTGAGTTCTGGGCCTTCGCCATCATCTTCTTCTGTTTTTGTAGCACCTCTCATGTGAATTCCGCATCAGGGAAAATGCTTTTACTTGTAATTTGAGAGGCTGTATTTGAAAGGACAATTAAAGGACTTGGCAAAGTGCCAAGGAGCCGCACGCGACACGCGCTTACGACGGATGTTATGAAGGACGGGAATCTGCGCCGCAAAAAGGTGTAAGGCGGAGCATGGAGGAATTAGCGTGTTTCACGGTCCTGTATCTCCATTCCTGGGCATGTTTGGGCGGGGGGACCACGACACATCGACAGCTGGGGGGCTGATAGTCTCATACACCCTCAATGTGTTTGAGCGTACCATGTGTCTTTAAGTCGCAAGCACTTTGACTACCACTCTCACAACACTACACATCAAACATCATCACGCCACGTTTAATATCAACACTTCAGGCGAACGTCACCGCCATCACCACCACAGGGAAGGACCGGGAGGCTGGGGAGGTCCAGGAGGGTCGAGAGGTTGGAGAGGTTCAGGAGGTCCAGGAGGATGGGGAGGATGGAGAGGTGGATTCGGAGGTTGGTTGGAAGTTCCTATGAGAGTCTTGTTAATTTCTCAACGATCACTGTTACTTTAGGTCCACGACCTTGGTTCGGCCGAGGTGGATTCGGAGGTGAGTATAGCTTACTTTTCATTATCAGAGACCTTACTTTTCATTATCAGAGACTTTAATGTCGCAAAAGCGGAACAGCGGATCGAGCTCTCTGACACCATCTGCGAAAAATTTTGAACAGGCCCTTTCCACCCTGTGGCACGAGCTGGATTTATTTGAACCACTGCTCACTTCCTCCTGATGGGCACCTCCTCATGGACCTAGAAGGGAAGGACCCATGTATGAGGAGGGACGACGTTTGGAGTGGTCTGGCATGTATGTGCCCTTTATCTTAATGTAATCCCTGGTACTGAACTTGAAGACTGCACAGTATCATCAAGTAGTCAGCTGATTTCCACATACTCTCTTTTTCGCTGCAGATGATGGGGCGTGTCAGGAGGGTGGATTTGACTCTGCGCTGAACTCATTTCCGCCACTGTATTATAGAAACCAGCGAGCGACAAGACTGTAATCATATTTTTCGTATCAGTTGCTTTCTCTGCTGTCGGTTACCCGCTTGATCAACTGGCATGGAGCGAAGGTGGCGTGCCAAACCCCACCTCACTGACACGCCCCATCATCCGCAGTGAAAAGCCCTGTAATTGTGACTTCAACAAGCCATACATTA